AAGACACCAATAAGGAGATTTTATGCAATAATGTTTGATAAATTTCTTAACAAGATTTGAATATTAATATTAAAACAAGATTTTTAAAAATTACAGAGATTAAAAATAATATTTTTAAATTTGAAGACCAAAATCAAATTTATCTTAAATTTGAGGTATTAAAAACATATTTAAATCTAACTTCTATTTATGAGTAAATTACATTTTATTTTCTTTTAATTTTATTAACCAACTCACCTTCAAAACTTTCTTTTGTCATCAAATTAATTCCTTTAAAGTTTGAGTTAAAATAAAAATAATTTAATTGAAATATTTGACAAATATCCAAACGTAATTTATTATTCAATTAATTGAAAACTCACATATATAGAGTATTTCTAATACGGTTAGCAGTATAACATTATTTACAACATGAAAATTAAACTCAAATAAAAGTTATTATGATATCATAGTTAAAATTATGATTAATATTGAACTTATTACAACTATAATTAGTTAAATTACTATAAGTAATTATATATGTATGGTAATTTATATAATATTAATTTTTGTGTTTATTTTTTTTCACTTCATCATTTATTATATTTTAAACTTAATTTTCTCTGTTACCTTTTTCTATCTCTGAATTGTACAATTTATTGTACAAATATCATTTCTAAATTACCATATATCACATGAATTATCTGGAATTAGTTGTTGTAACCTTTTTTTTTACATTAAATTGTTGTAACTTAATCAATAATCTTAAAAATAAATTATGAATATGTAGTTGTTTAAATATATACTCAAATAGAGTGTTTTGCTTTCTACAATAAACATACCTCACTCAAACATTATGGTCTATATATATATACAAAAATAACTAAATTAAGTAAATTTGATCTAATTTAGCATTTTCATTTTAATCTAAAATTCAGTGAAGTTTAATAATATTCGAATGTTACTGACAACGTGACAACTTTTTTAGTAGGCGTTTTGTTAATATCTCAATAAATGTTTATTTAAGTCTCCAGACATACCTTCAACTTCGTGGGCTCACACTCAATTCAACCAATTTTTATTTTTTTTTTGCTACAAAAAAAGAAAGAAAAACATTTTGGTGGACATCTTTGAACTTTTAATTTAATTACAAAATGCAGTGTTTATTTTACACGTTATAAAATGTAAAATGAAGAATCATGTTTTGTAACACTAGGTATTGTTTTTATATCTAAAATTGTACCAAAATTTTATGGAATTTATTGTTTTAATAAATAACACTATGATTTCACTCAATGTGATTAGTGGACTTCAAACGAGCTTCATTATTTTTTGACTGTGTCTGGATACACACCTTAGTTTTGATTCTTCGTCTGATCTTGACTACCGTTTACATCTGGTAGAGATGACTTTGTTTGCTTGTTCGTTAGGCTCTATTTGATGATTTTGCAAATCTATGTTGATGTTTAGCCAACTTTCGTCTTGTTCTTCGCTTAGTCTCATATGATGCCTATTTTGGTCTTACATTTGATCCCTCATGCTTCAGGTGATAGATTCGTCTTATCTTGTATTTGATTTAGGCCTGGATCAACCTTAGTCTTGATACTAGCTTTGCTATCGTCTGATGTCTTGTTCAATTCGATTATGCTTGATCATACTTTGTCCTTCATTTTTGTCTTGAACTTATTATTATCCATCTGAAACACTAATGCACATGTTAGGAATAACAATATGTATTATATTTGTCATATTCAAAACCTCTGTGGGAATTGCGAATGCGCTTTGTTTGACTTAACAATCTCTCCCTTTTTGATGATGACAAATATAATCCATCAAGTCATATTTAGATGTATCCTTCATACATGTTTATACATATCAAGCATCTTGTATCAGACATAGAGCAAACAAATATCATATACATGTAATGTAAGGGTTTCTATGTTCGTTGTTTAGTTTGAAAAGATGAGATGATAGTAGGTTGTTTTCAAAACCAGGAGGTTGACTCACGTAAACCTTTTTCGAGATTGTTCCATTTAAAAATACACTTTTAACATCCATCTGGTATAACTTCATGCCAGTACATGCGACAAAAGCAAGTAAAATTCTAATGGTCTCTATTCTGGCAACAGGTGCAAAGGTTTCAGTAAAGTCTATACCTTCCTGTTGAGAGTACCCTTTTTGCAACTAACCTTGCTTTGTTTCTTACCACGTTTCCTGATTCGTCTAATTTATTCTTGTATACCCATTTTGTACCTATGATTGATCTGTATTCTGGCATTGGAACAAGTTTCCATACATCATTTTTTTGGAGTTAGCTTAGTTTTTCCTGCATGGCCTGAACCCCACTTTCGTCTAACAGGGCTTTGTTCGTGATTCTTGGTTCAACTTGGGATAGTAGTGCAATCTGTGCTTGTGTTTTGAACGAACTTCTAGTTCTTACTACATCCTTTGCTTCTCCAATGATTTGTTCTTGTGGGTGATGAGCTTTCATCTACCAGTTGCGATTGACTGGTTCTCTTTCCTCTCTTTCATCCTGTTGAGTCACTGTTTCTTCAGACTCAGCTTTCTTCGTCTGATCATTGTTCACCTGCATGTTCTCGAAGAAATTTCCTAGCTTTTATATTTCTTTATCAAACTTGTTTTCATCAAATTTAACACGTATGGCTTCTTCAACAGTTTTGGTTCTGTTGTTGAACACCCTATAGTCTCTTGACCTTTCAGAGTATCTGAGTAGAATACCCTCATCGGTTTTTGAGTCAAAATTTCCTAGGCTTTCTTTGGTGTTTAGTGAGCTTCCTATAATCATCTTGTTCTGGGATGGTATACTCAGTTTGCAAGAAGGTGTTCATGGCCACTGGATCATAAGGAATGATTTTACCTCTCACCCACGAGATTCTATCCTTGCAATCAGGTCAGATAGGAAAGGCATTAGCATAGAACTCTCGAATGATGCTTTCATTGTATTTTTCTTCTTATATATATATATAGTAATACCGTTTGATAATTTTTAAAAGAGAAGTTTACTGCAAAAGTAATTAACCTCTAATTAATGCTTTCAACATATCTTTTCTTTTGTACAAGAGTGATTTCCATTTTAAGGTTTCGGGTTGCAACCTTCAAGTCACCTCTTTAAGAAAAGCAACTTTAAAAAAATCACATGGTTTTTAGGTTAAGTTTGTTGAGACATTAACAAAAAATTCAATTGGACTAGTTGAAGCTTGAAATTAAGTGAATTGGTTTTCAAGATAACGAGTTTGCACACCAAGTGAAGCTTGAATGAACCATAGATTAAAATCACAAGTTCTTCACCACCAAACCCTAAAGACTCTTAGGCCTACAAGTTTTGGTGCAACTTCCATAGCCATAATAGCACAAGGGCCAATGCAAGGTGTAGTTAGTTGCTTCACAATTATATCATGCACACACATAATATATATATATATATAGATGGTACCAACAGAATATGAAACCCTAGTGTTTATATATTATATGTTCATGATATTATAGTTTTCTTTTCTGGTAAGTTCGCTTAATCAGTTAGTTTTCACCAAATTAAGAGGATAATGGCATCAGTTGAGATGTCCACTTCCAGACAGAAGTAAGTAATCAACGTAAGATGTTTACCTTTTCTTCCACGTTGGATATTTTGTTTATCTTAAAAAATATATTATACATATATTGGCCTTAAATTCTGGTAAGATTTGACAACTATTGATGTCCAAAGAAGTGTGCAAGAGTTGTAATAAGGATGGATTCGACTTCCTCCTTTATAATTTTTTTTTTATTTTGAATTAATTTACATTACTCCATTTTATATAAAAATTATAATTTTATAATTTATCAATTATTAAAATCACGTATGTTAAAAAATATGCTTAAATATGTTTTAGTTCATGTAAAATGAATGAATTTAAATTTTGATCCAAATAATTTTTTTATTCTTTTAAAAAATTTTGAAATCGCTTTTAGAAAATTAAAAAGGGGTGTGTTTTACTTAAAATTGGAACAATACTCGTGTATTTGTATGGGTTATTTTTGTTTTTACGTATATTATAAAAACCACAGTTCTTTATATAAAATATTGTTTTATATTGAGATAATATAATTAATTGTTAGTTTTTTTCTCAAAAATATAGAAAGAATAGAAGTATTCAGGTTGCATATAATATTATATATATATATATATATCTTATTTTATTTTAAATATTCATAAAAATGTAATTAAGTTTTTTCACGACATGAAAATTTTATTTTAAAATTTTAAAAATTTAATTTATCTTAAATTTAAATATTTTATAATTTTAAAATGTGAAATGATGAATGTATTTAATCATTTTACAACTATATTGTTAATAAAAATTTATTATATTTATAATATTTATAATTTTATAAACAATATTTTGAATATTTTCTATAGATTAATAAAATGTAATTGAAAGCATGAGTGACAAAATGTTTTGTGCATTGCATTGTCAATTCATGTCCGTCTTGTCCCATCATGTCCCACTAAGTAAAGTGAGTTGAAAAACCAAACTCATGTTGTTTATAAAATATTTATAAAAATATAAGATTGTTTTTACAACATGAAAATTTATTTTAAAATTAAAAAATAACTTATCTTAAATTTATATATTTTGTAATTTTAAAATGTGAAATGATAATTATATTTAATTATTTAACAAATATATCGCAAATAAAAAATTATTACTTTTATAACATTTATAATTTTATAAATAATATTTTGAATATTTCTTACGAATTAATAAAATTTATTAGAAGTGAAAGTTACAATATGGCTAGTTTCCTAACCTACCAATCTATCACACCCTATCTCGTCTCCTCTCGTCTCTATAACACTGTTTTTTAAATTGCTTGTTTTAATATTAAGTTATATGTTAAGTTTGATTAGTTCAAGAAATGGTACATAAAGTTTCTTAAAAATTTGAATCTTATAATTAAGTCACATTTTCAAGAAAACCTTAAAGAAAAGTAGTGAAAAGCTCTCTAGAGAAAATCTTCTATCTTCCTTACTGTTATAAGAATCAAGACTTCTCTCTCTCTCTTTCTTCATTCTACTCCCTCCTCCCCCTAAACTCTTTCATTTTTTTTATTCTCAAAAGTGTTGAGCATTAAGTGGGCAAGGAAGCTTCAAAGCTCTAGAGTTGGATTTTTATTTTCACTTCTCATATTCTCCTTCTTCCTCGAACAACCTGGATTCAACGTTCTTCCTTCTCGAGGTAAGGGAAGCTAGAATCTTGGGTTGTTGATTGAATTGAAGCTTACAATTTGTTGGATTTCTAAAAATTTGAGCATTGGGGGTAGATATGTAGTTGGTTGCATGTGAAAGCTGAAACCTTGTTGTTCTTGATGATCTCTTTGAAATCTTGATGCATGCATGTTGTGTTTCTTGGACTTTTTGTGTTGCATGTGGTTAGTAGTGATGTATTTGTGTAGTTGCATGGGCTGGGTCTCCTTGGATTGTAGGTTTTTGTGGGTGAAAAACGATGTGGGAAGTTATGGAAGGGCAGAAAACTTTGCACTTTGTGCTGGAGCGCTGAACCAACATTGCAACTGTGAGAGAAAACAAGGAGGCAGAGACCTCGCACTACAGCTCCAAGTTGGACGCTACAACTTCAAGAGAAACTGATTTGCAAAGACCTCGCGTTGCAGCTCTAGGTTGGGCGTTGCAGCTCTAGGAGAAAACAAAGTTGGCAGAAAGTTGTAACTAGAACGTTGAATTGAGCGCTACAGTGCCAAGGGTAGATGACCAAATTTGGTCTTGGGGTATTCATGAAAGTTGTAGCCTTGGATGTTAGATTTCTAATGACACTAGAATCACCCAAAAAGGAGGTCTAGAATTCCAGTAATGACCCTTTTAGTGAGAAAAGGTCAAGCTATCAGGATTTAGGCTAGTTGTTGTGGTTTTTACATTTTTTAACAAGGTAGATTATAGAATTAGGACTTGATGTCTTCATGAGAGTTGTAGGAAGTATTCTTATCTTTCATATGAGCTAAGGATGAGAATGATAGGAGTAGTATAAATTCATTTATGCTACCTTATGTGAAGGTTTCCATTTCATAATAAGTGATTTGGTTAAGTTGAAAGTTGTTTTGGATGATTAGGTTGATTTATGTTATTTATATGTGTAAGTTGGAATGATAGATAAGTTGTAAATATGTAGTATGAGTTGTATTATGTGATGAAAATTTTGTGTGCTGATATAAATGATAAAATGTTGAATAATGATGATTGTTGTAGAATGATGAGAAAACATAGTTGAGTTGAGAGTTGCATGTTGAACCCTAGTTGTGTAGATGTGTAGAGATTGTATCTAAGTTGTTGAGATGACTATGATGTTTGAGTTGTAAGTTGAATGAGATGATGAGAAAATAACTGTTGTTGTGTTGTAAAGATGAATTTTTGATCACTAGGACTACGAGAGATGTTTTCAAAGTTACTCATCCCATTGTGCAGATTGATATAGTTGTGGTGCTTTGAGAGTCTAATTTGTTGAAAAACCCTCCTTGGAAAGTTGTCCCTTGGAGTGAGTGATGTGTTGTTCTTCTCTAGGACTTAGTTGGTCCCATGTGTGGACAAGTTCAAGGCACATGTGTATAAAAAGACCACGGTATAGGGGCCAGGTTGAGCTATACTGATTACAAGCAACCAATCCAAGTAAAGTATGAAGTCAGAAACTTAGTTCCTAACTAAGTATAAGAGGGTTGTATTATTTGGAGGATAGTTAGTAGGCTAATCCCACAGGTGGCTTATTTAAGCTAGCTAATGTCGTGGTAGGCCTAAACCCAGTTGTCCTGTCCTAATATAGTACTATACTTCCTTGTTTAAGTGGCAAAGTCTAAGAAACCATTATCGTGCTGTGAATTTTTATCTAAATTTGTTGTTTACCTAACAAGCCTAAAAATGTTCTGTGTTGTCGGTTCGGTAGGACCTAGCCACTTAAACTACTCACCCTATGTTGTAGGAGATCTCTGAGTTGAAATGCATGACGACGCATGTGTTAATGAGTTGATATTGTGATGATATGAGTTGTAGGTGTTGAGGTGTTGTGAAGTTGTTGTTGTTTATGTGTTGTATGTTGAATTAGTTGATGATGATAGTGATGTTAAGTTGCTAGTGTTGTAAGTTTCTTTCCTATATATATGTGTTGATTATTTTCACTAGCTTACCCTTATATGTTTCCATGTGGTTTGGATTATGATGATTATACGATGTATGAGAGCAGGGTAGGGATAGGTTAGGGCCTGGGAGATAGTCGTTAGAGGCCACAGGAGGTGCCTGAAGTGGATGTTCCTTTTGTAAGCTACCTTATAGTAGCATATTTTGTTGTATATATTTAGGTGTTTTTGGTTGCTTGCTTAGCAACTTGTGTTATAAATATTTTTATTATACAATTTTAGTATATATTCTAGTAGTGTGTTGTATTGTTTTGCAATGTGACGGCCATGACAGGTTGTTACAATTGCTACCTTTTTTCACCCTTTCCATAACTGATCTGAATAGAATTAATGAAGACTCAAGGTTCACAATTGAAAGTTTGGATTGGTTAGAGTCCTACGATGACCCATAACTCATCTCTCTCTTCCTTTATTAGTGAACTAGGAGTAGAGGTAAGAAAAGCTTGCTTTTATCCTTGTTGTTGCATGTTAAATGCGTTGTTGATTTTTCCATTAGTGTCTTATTTTTTTAGATGATTATTGAAGTTGTGAAGTCAGGATTTTCAGGAAAGATGAACCCAAAACCCAAAGTTGTTGATCTTTTGTTGTTGAGGGCATACATGTTGCATTTGAATTAGTTTCCATGTTGTATATGTTGTTTAGAATTGTGTTGATGGTTTAGATTTGATTTTAGATCTTGTAGGTGAGCTTGGGATGGATTAGAGAGACTTGAAAACCCCAAAATCACGAGCAACAGAGATAGTATCTGTCACGGATCCATTGAGCGATTTTGAAATGACTGAACAAAATTGGGGATGACAATCAAAGGTGTCTTTGGATGAAATCCACTAAACGATTCAATTCTTTCCGAATTAGACTTTGTTGTCTTTATAAAAGTTGTAGACCTAAATGTTAACTTTCTAATAGTTTTGGAATCACTTAAAAAGAAGGTCTAGAATCCAAGTTATGACCTTTTTAGTGAGAAAAGGTTAAGTTATCAACATTTAAGCAAACTGTTGCAATTTTTATGATTTTTACTATAGTAGATAATGAAATTAGAACTTAAAGTATTCATAAAAGTTGTACATAACCTTTTTAAATTTCATATGAGTTTGATTGAATTAGTGAAACTCCAAGCGTGTTGTATTATGTGGAAGTTGTCATTGTATGCTAGTTGATGATTACATGTTGAAAATGATATATGTTAATTCTCTTATAACATATGGTAATATATGATGTCCTAAGTTATTAAATGTTGAAAAATGATGAATTATTTATATGAATGATGTTGTATAATGATATTTAAAGTTTTTTATAGATGAGAATTGAAGAAGTTGATTAAGTTATAAGATATATGTTACTCTAAGTTGTTTGTATAGTTGAATTATGATATGTTGAGTGCTGACGAATATGTTATAAAGTTGTAAGTTGAAAGTTGATAAAATTGTATAAGTTACATATTGCTAAAGTTGTTTAAGTTGTTAAGCTTTATACATGTGGGTTAGATACATGTCTTAGCTAGCTACAATACATAAAACTAGAGGGGAGTAAAGTTGTTTTCAAAATTTGAATATGCCATCGTGTGGATATATGTTGCGGTGCTCTGAGAATTTGGTTGAAACCCTTCAGTAAGTAAGTTGACTTCTGAATGGGTAAATTATTTTCAACTGTCCCCCTAAATTTTATGTGGTATCTGTGTGTGGGCAAAGTCGAGGTATATGTGTATAAGGTGACCAATTGAGTGAAGTACCAGATTGAGGACTTAGTCTCTAACCTAGTATTGAAAGGGCATAGTACTTGAAAGATAGTCAATATGCTAATTCTAAAAGGGGCTTAGTATTGTAGACTTATGTCATGGTAAACCTATACCCAAACTGTTCTACCTTGATAGTAGTATCAAACTTCCTAGTTTAAGTGACAAAATCTAAGAAATCAATCTAGCTTATACTATCCATTGTTTTTGCCTTAATGTCAACCATTGTTTCTAGATTATACTAGTCATTGTGATTCGGTAGGGTTAAACTACGTATAATGCTCATCTCAACTATAGGAGATCTTTATACATCGATATGCGTGACGATACATTAATAATATATTTATATATGCGGTTATGTTGAATGTGTTAAGTTGATCACTTTGTCTAAGTTGTTTAAAGTTGTTTTTAGTGATATTATTTTTGAGTTGAAAGATATTGGAAGTTGACCTATTGAGTTGTTATCAATACTGTGATTATATGTTAAATTTTTTTACAAGCTTATCCTGTGTTTTTCCTTGTAGTTGGAATTGCAATGATCGTGATTCTTCATGAGAGCAAGACAAGATTAGGAGGATGACTTGTGTAATCAGTGGTGAGTCAGGTTGGTGGTGGCTCTATTTTATTAATGGCTATTCTAATGTAGTCAAGTTGTGTACAGGTGCTTAACCGACAACGTAGGCTTTATTTTGTATATGATGATGTATTTATATAGTGTACCAATATTTGTACAGGGTATGTACATAACCCATGAGGATTTTTATTTTCAATAATTCATCCTTCTACTCTAGACAAATATGTCTTACATGTTGCTTATATAACTGTTACATGATCACTCAAGATATGTGGTAAATTATATTATTTTGCGAAATAGCTGAACCACCATAAGTGTAGTGACTTGCCACTTGCTAAGTCATTATAGTCTTACCCTGTCCCACTTAACAATCTTACCCTGTCCCACTTAACAATGTGAGTTCAAAAATTTAACCTACTCCATTTATAAAATATTTAAAAAAAATGCAAGATTTTTTTTTTCTTTTTTACAGCAAGAGAATTTCATTTTAATTTTTTTTAAATTAACTTATCTTAAATTTAAGTATATTTTTTTTTAATTTTTAAATTAAATATAGATAAACAAATTAATATGTTATAAAATTAAAATAAATTTTAAATAAATTATTTTCAATTATAGTAAAAATGCATATGTTAAAGATAATGATGACATACAATAATATTTTTTTTTCTAATTTCAAATGTAAATAAAAATATCCTAGTTTTAAGACCATATTTTTTTCTTCTAAATTTAAATATAGATAATAATACTTTAGTTCTAATTTCAAATATAGTTGATTAAATATTGTATTAAATAAAAATATTCTAAAACATAAAATCAAAACCATACTCACACTTTGCATAAAATCCCATAAAATAAAAATACAAAATTTTCAAAATTTGAAAAGAACCTCTTTAATATTTTTTATATATTTTATAAAATAAATTCAAATTAGTTTTGAAATGTTTTTAAAATTTAATTTATGCAGAATAAAAATAAAATAATATTGTAAAGTATTTATAATATTAACAAAAATATGTAATAACATTTATAATTGGAAAAAATATTATAATCTTCAAACATATTTAAAATTAATAAAACCAAAATTTATTATTTTATTTTTATTTTTTATTTTATTTTCTAATTTATATTCTAATATTCAAAATATTATTAAAATTAAAATTAAAACTAAAACTAAAACTAAAATAAACTAAAATTATAATTATAATTATAAATTAAAAAAAATTCAAAACTAGAAAATAAGAAATAAGAATTAAAAATAAAAACAAAAGCTGTGAGAATAGAGTAGGAGAGAGAAAAGAATAGTTTTTTTCCCCAGAATTTGAGACGTGTCCCAGGGAAAACATTGTTTTATATATAGTATTAGTCAAGAGTTTGGATTTTTGCTTTTAAAAATCAACTCAACTTTAGAGTCATTATAATTGTATAAAACTATCTCTCTCTCATATTAATCTTTTGCCTCTTCGAATCCTAACAGCAACCAAGGAGAAGCATGCTTGAGAAGCCAGAAACTCTGTTGCACCCTTGCCTTTCAGTGTGTCTTATAAGGTGTTTCCAACACATTGTTGGACCTAATATAAATATTAAAGTGATATTTTTTTTTTTAAATTAATAGTAATATATTTTGATAAAAAAATATTTTAGAGGTAGGTTTTGAAATAAATATATTTATTTATTTAAAAAATAAATATTTTAGATTGAACTTTTAAGAATATAAAAGAGACTTTAAGTTAAAAAGATCTAAAGTAAGAAATTTTATTGGTCTCATATTTGAGTCGGTCTTTTTCAGAGTTTATAAACTCTTTTGACTAACTTATAAATTAGTTTGAACAAAATAAATTTATTTGATATTGGAGTTTATACAAGTTTACTTTAAGTTTATAATTTATTTTTATAAGTCGATTGAAGTAATTTATAATTTATAAATTCTTAATTTTTTTCTCCTTTTTTATCAAGAAGGATTTTTCGTCAAATAATCTTTTTTTTTTTAATTTAGAAACTATTTTGTTTATCCTTTCATTCTTTCATACTCATTATAAAAATTATTTTATAATATTTTACATTTATCAACTAACTTATTAAACATATTTAATTCAATTAATTAACTTAACTTATAACTTTTTTCAAGTCCTAACTTATAACTTTTATGTTTTAAGTTAACTTATAAACTTTCACTAGTTTGTAAACACATATTTAGAAATCATTATTATTCTATGTAAAAGATAATGAAGTCTTATTCATATACAATGATATAATAATGAATTATATAGGTAACTGTCACCCTTAATCCAATGAAATTGTGATTGTATGCTTAAATCACAAAAATATTGATGATAAAAACAATTTAACACATTAATTTGTTTATTGTATTTAATGATGATCATAAATATAAATTTTTTTTATATTTAATATAAAAACTTATTGTATTTATACTTGTATTTAATGAAGGTAATAAAATTATTGTATTTTTTTTTATAGAAAAAAGAATAAAATAGATGAAAAAATTTAAAAATAATGAAAATGAATTAAAAAATAATAAAGATGAGAGTGTTTTTATTTAAATAATAATAAAGATGAGATATAAATCTTTTGATTGATGGATACATGAACAAAAGAAAAAGAAAAAGAAAAAGGAAAGATGAATTAACCAAGAATGACTACAAAGAGCTAGACATGATAATGAACGAAAATAAAGTACGTAGAAAAGAAGTTTTTCGAAAATAAAATTTATTTAAAAATAATAAATTAAAAATCATTTAAAGATTTTTTTTTTATAAAATAGAAAGAAAGAAAGGAGGATATTTATTAACAAGGGGAATGTAAAAATCATTTGTGAAAACTAAAAAAGGTAAGCCATGATTGGGCCAACACATACTCACAAGGGAAAACAGTAAAGAGAAAGGACAAAGGTCTAACCTAAGGACTAATGTGATCAACACAAACCTAAAGGGAGAAGAGCTGAAATGCTGCATTTTATTCAAGTAATAAAAAAAAAGCCCAACTTATTCTGATGTTCACTTCATTTTTTTTATATATAAAATATTTACTTCATTTTATTTATTTATTTATTTTTTACCTATTTTAATTGCAATAAATGAGTTGAGTGCTAATTAGGAGCTCAAGTTTCGATTCTAAATTAAGTTCCTTTTAAGTTGTTTCTTTGGTAACTTGTATCTTTTTAGTTGTAGTTTGGAATCTAAACATATTTTCTTTTTTACTTATAAAAATTACAATGACAGTGAATAAGTGACAGATTTTAAACTTAAAATTTGTATATACTACTTCAATTCTTTATCATAAAATCATTAGTAGTTTAGAATTTTGCATATTTTATTTCAATTTTTTTTCGGAATATTTGCCTCCAAATTTAAGATATATCACAAATTTCGCTCTCATACAAAAATGATCACAATTACAATAATTTTGTAACTAAGTTTTCTTTTAAATTAAGATATATTTTGTTTTTTTTTTTTACAATTTTTCTTCTAAACCGCCCCAACTTTCCATGTTATGGCAATATTCATGAAAAAAAAAATATAGAGTAACAAAATTTGCCAAATTGTAAAACTTTAAATGCAAAAGTAATATGTTCTTCGTGAGGTTTAGGCATTCACCGAGTAATCTAGAAGATTCAAAATTGAAAGCAAAATTCACAACCTCACTCGATGCCTTTCAAGTAGAGTTCTACATAGAAGAAGTTAGTCAAGTTCATGATTTACTTCATTGACCTAAAGTGTTACCATAATAGTCACTTCCTTTCCAAGGTGTATGAATCCTAGCCAGTCTACCCTACAAAAAATTCTAGAAGAAAAACAAAAATGAAGAAAACTGTGTTAACAAATATACATTTACATTTTACCATGAAGATTCACATTAGTTAGAGGTTGTGATTTTAGTTCATAGACCCTAGTGACAATCCCTGCTTTCTTTATCTGCTGCATTGTTGGAAAAGGAATGAAGAACTTGAAGCTTTAGTTTTGTGTTTCCTACAAACTTGTACCTAGGATGTTGTAGAATCTGATTTTTGGTCTGCATCTGCTATGGCCTGGACTTGAGCTGCATACTGTAAGTTCCATAAGACATCCTCAAAAGAGGGAGGAGATGAGGATTCTGGGGAAAGGCATTTGGTTGTGATTGATATTGCAATTGATAATGACTCTGGACAGCAAGTGTTCAACACTACTGGATCCACTATTTTGTTTCTACCATCTTGACTGTCAAATGATACCTGTAGTTTACAGCACCAGGTCTCATTGATTAAATTCAATAATGAATATAACAATATAAATATTTCATGGGAACAATAAATATTGAGGATGGAGAATCAGGGACCCCATTACTACATATGACTATAAATCATGAATTTACTACCTAACTCTAGTAAAATACATTGGTTATATGCAAGTATGTTATTGATTAAACATGTTTGACAAATAGTTAATCAACGTTTTCCATCACTTTAGCTAGTGTTTGTTGATGTAGTAAAAATGGTCCAACCAACTACAAGCGATTACGGGGTATATTTGTTCAAACTAATTTATAAGTTAACTTTAAACTTATAAGAGGGAAAAAAAAGTTGATAACTTATAAATTAATTGATTGAATTAAAAGTGTTTTGTAAAAAACTGATAAGGTAGCTAATTAATGTAAAATAATATAAAGACGTATTTATTTATTTGATAATGAAAGTGAAAAAATATGAAGGTAGACAAACTAGTTTTTAAATTAAAAGTGTAAGAAATGATTTCAAGTAGATTAATGAAGATAGAAAAGAAAATAAAAATAAAAAAGAATCTGAGAGCTTATAAACTACTTTATTATCTAACCCCAAGCGTGTGGTTCAGCGGCAGGGGTTGATCCACGCTTAAGCAAGGTCAGGGGTTCGAATCCTGCCTTGTGTATGCAACCGCGTTAAATCTTGGGGCCAGCTATCCCACCCTTTGAGGTACCTCCTTCGTAACGAGGAGATTAGTCACCGCTATCGGCGGTGAATACTCCAGGGACGAACCAAAAAAATAAAATAAAACTACTTTATTAAAATAAATTATAATATTTTAAAATGAACTCTCGTATCAAACAAATTTAACAAATTTATTTTAGAATCTAACTTATAAACTAATAAAAGAATTTCATAAACAACTAAAATGCTTTACTAGACACATTTTAAGAATTTATATTGATTTGATAGTTAGCTATGTGACATTTGAGTTCATATTCCTCCAAAGAAAAAATAAAGCAGAAGTTTTCAAAAGCTTTTACCTTATCATGGAGAAAAAATTCCACTCCTTTCTCACTTGCTATGGGTCCAACAAGTGATTCAAACGATATTAATCCAAAATTATAGACATCATCTTCTAACTTTTCTCTTTGGCTGTTAGAGAAAAAAAAAGAAGAAGAACAAATTGTCAGTTTTCATCTATTCAAAAATAATTCCAGGAATAGCATATTAGGCCTTTCATTTTTACAAACTCAAAAAGGAAGAGTGAATGGGGAAGATAAAATGTGATGACCGAACAAAACTAATTATCAGAGGTAGTGATGAAGAGAGAGTACGAATTATGTAATACTCCCACCAAGAAAGTAAAGATTAAAGAATTCAGTTGCATGATGTTACACTAAAAGTAAAAGAAGTTACAACCAGCATACATACCATGATTTTGGATTCTCTCCCTTTACCTGAACAACACATACAAAGCAACAGAATCACTCTAGGATCAAGCATAGGAGAACAAGTTTAAGTAGCTGGATTGAATAGCAACTAATTATAAACATACCTCAAGGTATTCGATCTCCTCAGAGATCATGGACATGCCATAGTCACTTAGTTTGGGAATGTGATGTTCATCAAGTAAAACATTGTGTGCCTTTAGTTGGTTTCTAAAACAACCCGGTATAACTCCAGTATGTAAAAAGTGCACAGCTTTGGCAACTCCAATTAAAATTGCTAATCTTTCAGACCACTTTAGTGCCTTCTCTGATGGAAATTCGGCATGTTTGAATAAGAAAGATTAATTGGTTGAAGCATTTTATGTCACAAATTGGTAACAAAAATAAAGAGGAAATCATGGAAACAAAAACAATTATGATATAAAAAATAAAGAAAGATTAATTTGCTCTTTTGGATATAGGAAATGTTGGAAAGAGGAAATCATGGAAATAGAAACAAGTATGATATCAAAGAAATAAGAATGGAATTTGGTGAAATTGGTGCTTTTATCAATATACAGAACAATAATACAATCTCATACTAACCTGACATATAGGTATGATAATTCCCATATGGCACATACTCATATACAAGATGAAGTTTGAGGCCACTAGAATCATCTTGTCCATCACCATCAATACAATGACCCAAAAGGCTAACCAAATTTGGATGGTGAAGTTTTGATAGTAAATCCAGCCGAGCTTTAAGATTTTGCATTGAGCATTTCTTTGACAGAGCTAGACATCGTATCGCCACATAGGATCCATTCTCTAGTTTACCTTTGTACATCTGAAATGAAGCAGAAGACTTATACGAAGCCACTTATAGGGGACAAACAAAATGAGTATGACAAAATTGCCTTCTGGATACTTTTTTTTTTAATTTTTTTTATTTATGATAATCATGTTATTAATATGAAGTATCTAGTAAATTCATAATTATTAATCTTCGTCAAAAAATTTGACTGACCACCTTAATGGGATCTTCTCTCCTAATTACGCTTTCTCATTCATGAGACTCAAATACCAGATTTTACTTAAGAGAGTTGAGTCTAATATTACTCAAATCAAGGACTTCTTTGTGCCTTGTGAATACTTGATACTAATATAGATAGAATATCACTTTACCCTTTCACACTAGTTTAAAGACGTAAAATAAATAGTATACTCTTTGGAGGGACTTCAGAAATTGCAATCTATCAGAAAACTAAAGTAGTATCAAGGTGTTCTGAATAGTCTCTAAGGGAAGCCCCCTTCTTATTAGTAGATTTACTAGATATGATATCCACATCCAGCAACATAAAATCAATCAAACAAAGAAATAAAAGAAACGGAAAACCAGCTACGATGAATTGGAAAAAATATTTGAAATACTGGAAACTATCCTATATCTTTCACTATTTTGTGATTGAATGATACCTTTCCTAAGGATCCTTCACCAATATAAGTTGACAAATCAAAGTTTCTAGTGACTTCCTTCAACTCTTCAATTGAAAACTGTCTACAGGTAGGAGTAGCTTGGGTCCCTAGCTTCGCTACTTGAGAAATGAACCCTGAAAAAACAGAATATAAGAAATTGTTATTTTAGATATCCAATTAAATCTAGGGATTTCAGTTCAGCAATCTAAAGCCAACAGTTGAATCAAGACAGAAGAACATTATTGCCTAGCCTATGTACTTACTAGCACTAGCAAGGAGTTCAGAAGAAACTCCTGTCGTTGAGTTATCTTGAACAGCCTTTAGCAACATCTCATGCCTATTATACATTTCCCTTGAATGATATTTTCTATAAAACAAAACTCCTAAGGCTGAAAGTACAAGAATAATTACAATAATCATGGCAACTGCTGCAGCTATTTTCCAGTTCAAGAAGTTCTTCCTTCCTGAGCTTGATTCTTTACAATAAGTCCCTCGCCGCTGAGGTTGAGAATCAACTGATAAACAGTTTCCACCATACTTAACAACTATTCTACCCGAAGTACGAATCAAGCAAGAAGAAAGTTCACCTTTTAACTTGTTACTAGATATATCCACAAACCCAAGTTTGCTACCACATTTTAAATCGTGTGGAAGGGGTCCACTTAACTCATTGCTGGCTAAATTCAAATAGCTAATGTTTGGCAAAGAGAACAAGGCATTTGGGGGCATCCTACTGAGATGATTTGATGAAAGATCTAGATGTTGAAGCTGATCTAATTCACCAAACTGATTTGGTATCTCACCTGAAAAAGAATTTTTGCTTAGCAGAATTGTGACCACTGCTTTAGGCATCAGTGGCAGTTCAGAATCTAAATGATTTTCTCTTAAATCAAGTACATGTAGGCTAGAGAGAGCAGTGAGATCAGGCAATGCACCAGACAAGTTATTGTGGGACAAGGAAATATCAGCAAGGCTACTAATCTTGCATAGTGAGGAGGGGAATGAACCCTTTAAGTGGTTGCTCTTCAAACTCAAGACATTTAAGTTAGACAAAGAACCAAGCCAATCAGGCATTGTGCTATTCAGATAATTGCCATCTAGCGTCAGTGTGTGAAGCTTGACCATAGTAGACACTCTTGGTGGCACTGAACCATATAAGAAATTTGAGCTCAAATCCAAAACTTGAAGCAAAGACAGCCTATGAATTTTATCAGGAAGTGGCCCCCAAATCCCCAAGGACACCAATCTAAGGACCCTTAAGTTGGTTAACCTGGTCAATGTGGTGACAAAAGAATCAATAGAGAAGCTCACTGACAGTGTCTTATTGGGGACTGCATATCCATTGAACTTGTCAACCTTCACAACTCTATCTCCCATAATTTTAAGCTCAATTACTGAATTACCCTCACATTTAATGGCCACATTTGCAGATGCAGGAAGGCTACAAAGGTCTCCATAGTAATTTTCCAACATTAGCAGAGATGTAGGGTACTCCAGATACTTCCTTAACTGTAACAGAACTTGAGTCTGAGCAAGTTGTAGTTCATGGGTACTAGGGATGGACAAAAACCATGTAAGAACCACAAGATAGAGGTAAAAATATCTCATTGAACAAACTTTGAGCATTAGGCACAATATTTGGAGAAGGTGAACCTCAAACTTGGCTACCAAATTCAGAGAGAGAAAGCACACCTGAAGAGAAACATGTCAAAACACTCAAAAACAGATCCTTCAAACTGCAAATACTTTCAAGAGCAATAAGATTTAAGGAACAAGAAGGCAAATTTTATTGAACTATAGGTTCAAAAATTAAATGCATCTTCTACTCCATAGACCTTAGATATCCAAGTAGCCGTTGTTATTTCATTCACCAAAAGTAAGAAAAACTCTCTCATTTCTCAAGCAAGGCATTAAAGAAGTCCTTAATGAAGAAAAAGGAACATGGACCCTTAAGTGAAGCTCAGGAAGCACAGAACATAAAAGAAGGAAAACTAAGAATGACACACACCCCTAGGAAGCAATAGCATAGGATAGAGTGAGGGACAACACTTTGGGAAGTGTAACAAAAAAATGAGGAGGGGCATTACATAACAGTGTGAAATACTGCTTCAATGAAAGAAAGGCATTGAATGAGGAGTGGTAAATGAGATAGGAGGTAATTGAAAATAGCATAGTACGATGGAACATTAACAAGGCACAGTAACTGCAAGAGACAATTAATGCATGGTGAGAAGTGGCTTCAGTCACTCTGGCTAACTACTTGCAATGAATGAGAGAATGATGGGACCAGTGGCATGGTTGAGGAGACTTTGGGAAGAGTCACTAATAAGGAAGGGAACAGGAACAGCCTGGAATATGTTTTGTTGACAAAGATAAAGGGTGTATGTCTGTTATCTCCAACCTTAATATATTATTCTCCTCCTTTGTATATATAAAATAGAGTATGTTTTTGTTTCGTATAAATACTTTTTAAGAAAAAAAATATAATTTATTACTAATGTTTAGGCAAGTAACAATAAAATTGTACTTTCAGTTGTAACTCAATTCTCGGTCTATACTAAAATTAAATTTTGATTCTTGGTTAAAGTGACAAATGTTGAAATTACTTGTGCAAGTAAGGATTTTTAGTTTCAATCATTAGATTTTTGTTAATTTTTATTTTTATAAATTTTATTAAATTTTGGCAATAATCCATATCGTTTATTTATTAGTAATGTACACCATTCGGTTCATTTTATTTGACGTTTTAACAATTCTTATCTATTTTAATTTGATATTATTTTATAATATCAATATAACATTAAATATTTTTTTCTATTATACTCTTAATTATTATTCTTTAATTATTGGTGGGAGGCTAAAAGGTTTAAATGTATATGGGGAAGTTATATGATTTATTTTATGAAATTAGATATATTAATTGTATTTCTGAATTAAGTCTGTAAAACTTTAAACATCAAATAAAATGAAAAGGAATGAATAACATTTATTTTAATTTTAGAAACTGATTAATGTAACATTCATTTAAACATGTTACTTAAGTTTAATTTTTAATGTTATCTTTAGAATGTTTTCAGAATTTTGATGGATAAAAAAACATTTCGTGACATGTAATTTATAACATTGCATGTTTTATTGTTTAATTATATGTTGTGTGTTGTTTAAATGTTGCTAAGTTGTAATTATTATTGTTTTATAACTTTAAGAGTCAAGGAATCCATAGGAGTTAATTTGTTTTGGGGTTGTTTTTAGAAGAGGTCAAGTAACCAAATTTAGAAAAAGGTATTTACGATTTTATTAAAACTTGAACTTTTTAAATTTATATTTTAAGAAAATTTAGAAAAAGTTAGAGAGATAGGCTCTAGAGTCAAAGAGATTCCTTTTTTTCTTTCGACTCTATAGAAGTGTCCAAACCCTTCCTTATAGTTGAGTGGTGGTATTAGATTGTAGATTCAAATCTTGGAAGTTGAGAATCTTGGAGAGAATTTGTCATTTGGAGAGTTTCAAGATTTCTCTTTTCTTCATTCCTTTCATTGATTCTAAAGTAATTGAGGTAAGGGAAACTTATTGTTTTATCTTTTATGTTGTCTATGTTAATTTTACATTGTTGGTTCATGCTTTAGAAAAACACTTTAGTTGGAATTGAATAGTAGAAATTTTGGGTGTTTTTGTTCTTGGTGTTCTTGGTGAAGGATGAAGAAATTGATGATTTTGAACTCTTGTCAGTTGCATGTTGTAAATTTCTTGACATTTGAATTGCTTACACTGTTATGTGTTGTTTTGTGAGTTACATGTTGGATTGGAAGGATATTATTGTAGGTTTGAGCCAAATCGCGATCCTACTAGGTGCAGAAATTGTCTTCACGCTAGGTACAACTTCATGGCATCGAGTGTGATGCAAGTTAGGGGTTATTTGCCTTAATGATGCCAAATGTAGAACAAGTAGTGTTGGGCATGAGTCAATTAGAAGCTCTCTAACTTGGTTATGTTGGACGTGGGAATAAGAAATGTTGGCATGATTGCCTTAGAAACTCTTTGACTTGTTAACACTAAGTGCATGATTAGTGGTGTCAAGTGTGAGCAAGTCAGAGACTCTCTACCTTGATGATGTTGGGTGCAAGTTGAGTAGTATCGGATGTAAGTAAGACATAAACTCTTTAACTAAATGATGTTGGGCACAATATTAGTAGCATTGGATATGGATTACACATAGACTCGTTGTATCATTTTTGTTAGGTGCAAGAAGATTGGTGCCAAGCGTGAGGCTCTTTGCTTCAATGGCGCCAATCACAAGGTGAATGGCGCAAAGCGTGATTGTGCTGAGTGAAAAATTGTGACTATGTTGCTTAATGTTGGAAACATGTTGATTGAGTTGGTTGTTTACATGTTGTATAATGATTATTAATTTTAATCCATTATATATTGATCTATAATAATGTAAGATGATGATATAAGTTGTTTAAAGTTGTAAGTTGTTAGGTTGTATTATACATGTGAAGCATGTTTTAAAGTTGAGTTGCATAAAAGTTAGCGAAGAGAAAAATTGTTTTCAAAAGTTTTCATATCCCATTGTGCAGATATCAATTGTGGTGCTTAGAGAGACCAAAGTTGAAAACCATTCAATGAATAAGTTGCCTCCTGATTAGGAGGTTATTTTAAGTTGTCTCTTATAGGTTTTTCAATTGAAACAATATGGTGGAGGGAAAGTCATTCTTGTCATAAGTGGCCATTGAGTGAGGTATAAGGTGAGGGGTCAAAATCCCTAACTAAGTATTAAAAAAGGTGTACAATATTTGGAGGGTGGTCGACGAACTAATTTCATATAGGCTTAGTTATGCATGCTAAGGTCATGGTAGATTCACACCTAAGTTGTTATATTCTTAACAATAGTACTGAACTTTTTTAGTGTAACTAGTGAAACCTGAGAAACTAAAATAAGTTGTTAAACAAGTTAGCATGCCTGAGTTGCCTATACTTGACCTAAAGAAGATAAGTCAAACATTGTGATTCGTTACGATTAAGCCACTTAGACTACTCACCCTAGTTGTAGAAGATCTCCATAAATTGATATGTGTGATATTGTTAAAATTGTTCTCCAGTTGTCTTTGTTGAAATTGTTGTTGTTATGCTTTTAAGTTGAAAAGCTATCTTATTGCTAAAGTTGTGTAAGTTGCTTAATTCTTATATATGTTTTTTCTTCACAAGTTTACACTTACTTTTTCATGTTGTTGAATTCCAATGATTATATTTAGTATGACAGCAGGTCTGAATTAGGTGGAGGGCATGCTTGGAAGTTGGCTATTTGGAAGTAGTCTTGTTTTGTTGTTGTTCTAACACAACAATTATGTATAAAGACGTTTTTTTTTTTTGTTCGTCCCTGGAGTATCCACCGCCGACAGTAGTGACTAATCTCCTCGCTACGTTGGAGGCACCTCAAAGGGTGGGATAACTGGCCCCAAGATTTAACGCGGCTGCATACACAAGGCATGATTCGAACTCCTGACCTTGCTTAAGCGTGGATACGTTTGATTAGCACTAGGTATTTATCTATTAATATTTTGTACTCGATATATATATATATATATATATATGATTTTATTCTAATCCTATAAGAGACTATATATTTTCAAGTCAAATTGAAATTGACGGGAACTATTTTTATATTTTCTACACTTATACATATATTTGTTGTATTTATGTCTAAATATTATTGTATAATAATCATAATATAATTAAATTCCTTATATCTTTTATTATATAGTAACTATATTATACTAAGTGTAAACATGTCATATGATTACATAATTATAAAACAAAGACATAGACATGACATGCCTTAATAAATGTTATATCATTACTAAATAATGATAAGAATACTTTTTAAATATTTTAATATTTGTAAACAACAATATCAATAAAAGAGTAGATTAAAACTAAGGTTAATTATATTTATAAACACTGAACAAATATTTAAACTTTCTCTTTATTTTAGTTCGGTTTCCCTTCACGGCCCATAACTTATAATGGTAATTGTAGGGATACTATTCCATTCATGTCGGAACAATATTAACGACTGGATGATAAGTATGATGCGAATTGCGAACCAAGTTTTAGTTTTTGGTTCTGTTTTAAAAAATATATTTTATACTAATATTTATATATTTTTCAAGACCCATAACTCAAAAGACATTTTTTATATTCTTAAGGCTCATCTTTAAAAACATATTTTAAAAAAAAAAGAGCTATTTTATGTGTTGGACGGAATCGAGTGGAATTTTTAGCCGTATTGTGAATATGGGATCATATTTTGTTGAATGATAATATTTATATAATAATTTATACATAATTTTTTTAATATTTTTATTATTGTTTATTATATTTAAAATTTCTATTTTTAGCTGAAAAATTTATAGTAGAAATTAATTATGCACTATTTTTTATTTAGTTTGAAAAATACTAATATCACATTCTTTAATATTAAGTACATTTATTATTAAATTTATTGAGGAATAGGGAAATCCTATAATATACAAATGCGATATTTTGATATGCGCTTTTCGTCTCTTTCTTACATTGGGATGGAGGAATAGTTTTTGGTTTCCAATTTAACGTTTCTGAACTTAAATTAAAAATCATGTCATGTTTCTTGTCTTATATCATGTCTCATATCTCATAATACTTTTTTTTTTGTTTTTTGTTTTGAACACATGCAGCTACGTGAGAATGGGATCCCTTTATCTAGCTAAGCTTGTACTAATTTTGGTAATTCATTAGCATTACATTGGTTTGCAATGTGGTGAAATATTTGATTAAGGAGCGTTTTTTTTAATGAGATTTTTAAATTTAAGAATCATTATAAATTTCAAAAATAATGATTTCTAAGAATAACTAAACTCCGTTTGATTCCTTATAAATATTTTTGAGAATATTTAAATAAAATTTTTAAGAATTAAAAATTTTCATGTTTAATTATAATAATATATTCTTAGGTATATAAATATTTTTTAAAAAATATTTTTTATTAAAATAATTTTATTAGATATATTTTTTATTCAAATCTTATAACAAATGATATTAAACTATTTTAAAAGTTGAAAAATTTTAGTTAAAATTATTTAAATATAGAATTTAATAAAAAAATATTACATAATAAATAAAAAAGAGAAATATATTATTCCATTTTATTCCAAGAAAAAATATTAACTAATACCATTAAATTGTAAAAATAAAATAGATTTTAATAATATTATTAAAATTAACAAAATCAATAAATAATCAAATACAAGAATTTGAGAGAAATAAATATATGAGAGAGAGGGAGAGAGGGATAGAGGGAGAGCGTGTGAGACCTGCTACATTTCCTTTCAATTCTCACTTTCTCCTTCCCACTCTCTTTACTCAAGTTTAGGTTTTCATTTCCTTGGTTGCTGTAGGTGCTGACTAGAAGCTAGCTAAGTGCGCCAGGTGGATTCCTCTCTTCACTGTTTATCTTCTTCTCCTCCTTCTCTTCCCGGAAGTTCGGATTTCTTCTCTTCCGAGGTAAGGGAAGCTAGATTTCTTGCGGATTGTTTGGAAGTGAGTTTAGAACTCACATGTTGTTTGATTCTTGGAGAATGATGGTGGAGTTGAAGAAGTTGCATTTTCGGGGTTTCGGGAAACTTGGGAAAAATCTAGGATTTCTATGTGTTGATGGTTGCATGTTGATAAAGTGATGATTTTTGGGTTGTATGCTGAAAATGTGGTTCATTGAATGGATTGCATGTGTTTGAGCTGGTTGATTTTGTAGGTTTTGGGTGAAATTTTTGAAGTTTGAGGGTTGTTGTTCGTAATTGCACCGGGCATAGTTCTTGGCGCCGGGCGTGTAACTATCAGAGTGTTCCATTGGTCAAGCATGCTGGGCGCAAGGTTGTTTGTGCCAGGCGAGCTTGGGAATGGAAGTCCCTGGATGGCTCACGCTAGGCGTGGGAGAACTGCTCTGGGCGTGATATCAGAGCAAGGACTCACAATTTTGGGGTACTGGCATGGTGCTAGGGGTGATTCAATCTCGCCGGGCATCGAAACTCCATGGGAGTCTCTGCCAGGGGTGGCGCCGGGCGCAATTGGTATTGCACCAGGCGTGAGACCTTGGGGAGGTCTCTGCCTTACTTGTGCCGAGCGCGGGTATGGTGTGCCGAGCTTGTGAGACTCCTGAGAGTCTCTGCCTTCTATTGCGTCGGGCGCAGATGTATTTTTTTTTATGACTATGCTGATTAATGTTGTTAAAGCTGTATGATGTTTATGCTGTTGAGCTGTACTGTATGATGTTTATGTTGTATGATGCTTATGCTGATGAATGTTGTTATGTCGAGTTGTGTTGTATGCTGTCTAAGCTGTTGATGCTGTTAAGCTGAGCTGTGCTGAGTGTTGAATATGATATTTAAAATAGTTGAGTTGTGTTGTTGAGTATGAGTTGTGTAGGCCGTAAAGCTGAGCTGTGTAGGCTGTAAGGCTGAGCTGTTGATCACTAAGACTAAAGGGGATCTCCTAGTTGAAATGCGTGACGACGCATAAGCTGTTTGATGTTGATTTTGCTGAATGATATGAGTTGTATATGTGCAGTGTATTGTGAAGCTGAGATGTAGATGTATGTTGTTACGTGTTGTATGTTAACTTTGCTGAAATTGATGATGTGTTGTTAAGTTGAAGTTGTTTATAATTGAATTATATGTTGATTCTTTTCACTAGCTTACCTTGTCTGTTTTCATGTGGGTTGGATTGTAATGATCATACTATGTATGGGAGCAGAGCAGGGATAGGCATCAGAGTAGTAGCTGGACTATAGGTGATAGCAGAAGCTGATGTTTTGTTGTTGATAGGCTACTTAGTGTAGCTATTTTGCTGAATTTTGTATATTAACTTGTTAAGTCCCAGGTTAGACTTATGTGTATATATATTTTTCTATTTATATGCATACTCTATTCTGCGTGGTGTTGTTTGTTGTGTGACGGCTAGGCGGGTCGTTACACTTTTTGGTATCAGAGCAATTCGAGTCTAGTGGACACTCTGTGGGGGTGGTTCCTTTAGGCTTTTGTTGTGCTGAGCTTTGTGTTGTGTTGAATTCTATGCTGATTCTTGTTGATTGGTTTAGTTGTTGCATTGTGAAAGTGTTGTTACTTTTTGTAGACGATGACTAGAACGAATGAGCAGATAGCCTGTGTCGTGGAGATAATGGCTATGGCTATGCAACAGAAGAATGCCTACTTTGCTAGGATGGATGCTGATAGAGCTGCAGCTGGTGCAAGAAGACCAGTTGGGTCACAGGAGAGCCGGGATCTAGCTGAGTTCCGCAAGTGCCATCCTCCACAGTTTAAGAGAGATGCAGACCTAAAGGTAGCTGACCACTAGATTTGTGAGCTGGAGAAGATTTTCACAGTACTGGGCTGTTTCCAGGAGAGGAGGTTGGCTTATGCCGTTTATATGCTAGTGGGAGAGGCTGAACACTGGTGGAGGGGTACTCATCAAATGTTAGTTGGTCGAGGAGTGGCGGTTGACTGGGAGTGCTTTAAGAGGATATTTCTAGAGAAGTACTTCCCAGAGAGTGTGAGACATGCCAAGGAGACAGAATTCATGAGGTTGCACCAGGGTGGGATGACGGTGTCTGATTATGCGATGAAATTCAAGAACTTGGCTCGTTTCTATTCACAAGCCATTTCTGAAGCCTGGAAGTGTAGGAAATTTGTTGAGGGTTTGAAGCAGGAGTTAAAGAGGGTGGTGGTGCCTATGGCCATCATTGAGTTTCCGGCCTTAGTTGAGAAGGCGAAAGTTGTTGAACGGTTGGAAGGTGGCAACCGTGTGATGAAGAATGCTGAGGGACCAGCTGGGTCCAAGAAGGGTGGAGGTCAAAGGAAACCTTATGATAGGCCCCAACCACAGCAAGGGGGTCTTGTCACAAGGTAACCTACTGACGCAGCTAGAGGTGGGAGTCAAGGTGGAGGTGCCACTCTCAGATGCTATAGATGTGGTGGACCCCACTTTGTTCGAGATTGCCCTTATACTGAGAGCTGGTGTTTCAGGTGTAACCAGGGTCATGAGTCGACTAGCTGTCCTGCTAGAAATAGACAGAATAGGGGTGCTCCAAGAGGTGATAGACCTACTACAGTTGAGAGGGTGTTCACATTGACCGGGGCTGAAGCTTCCACTTCATCTGATCTAGTGAAGGGGAAGGGAAAAGCTGCTAGTAAGGATGTGATGATTTTATTTGATTTGGGAGCCTCTCATTCTTTTATTTCTTATGCATGTGCTGAATTGTTGGGTGTGCCGGTATGTGATTTGGGGTTGAGATTGCTAGTGTCGACACCCGCTTCTGTTTCTATTGTTGCTTCTGAGCTGTGTGTTAGTTGTCCCTTAGTGGTGAGTGAGAAGAGGTATAAGATAAACTTGATTTGTTTGCCTTTAGTTGATATTGACATAATCTTAGGGATGGATTGATTGTCTTCCAATCGCATCCTTATAGATTGTGCCAATAGGAAGTTGATCTTTCCTCAGGTGGAGGATGAGTTGTTGATTTCAGCTAGCCAAGCTGAAACGTTGATGAGAGATGGAGCAGAGTGCTGCATTTTTCTTGCTGCTATGAGTGTGGAGACCGAGAGGGTTATTGTTGAGATTGAAGTTGTGAGGGATTTTGCTGAGGTATTTCCGGATGAGGTGTTTGGGTTACCTCTTACTAGGGAGATGGAGTTTAGTATTGACTTGGTTCCTGGTGCGGGGCCAGTGTTGGTTTCTCCCTATAGGATGGCCCTAGCAGAGTTGGTTGAGTTAAAAAGTCAGTTGGGAGAGTTGCTAGAGAAGCTGTTGGTGAGGTCGAGTGTATCTCCATGGGGTGCTCCAGTGTTTGTTGAGATTTCCGTTGAAGTGCTTTTGTTAATATTTGTAAATTCGTTTAATTCTATCAACGGTCTCAAACACGGCAAGTATACCGGCCGTTCAAGTAGTAAAAATATTGTATCCACAGGGATTAGAAGGTAACATAAGCATTTATTGACTATTCGTGACTAAAGAATAATTCCAATTTCATAGTTTGTGCAGTGAATTCAAAGTTGTGACTATTGGAATGAAAGCTGTAAATAAATATTGTTTTGTGAGTGGAAAAGGTAAGGAATGGTATTGTGGTATTGTGAGGTTGTGGGGGTCAGATTTCACCAAACGTAACACTAATGTATCCTTAATCTCTTGTTAAATTCATTGCTTAGTCAACCCAAGAGTTTACTCAAACCTAATCCCTTAGAGAAAGAGCCTAGGTGCGGATATTGAATATCAATCCCTTGAGTACCCAATATCTACACCCGCATTACGGGCTAGGGTTTAAGACTACTAATGGGTCAAGCTCTATCCCTAGATACAATCACCACTAGGCATATGTTTCAGAACTAGTTTCAAAGGTTATTTTCCAATACCCATGGAACCTTAAATCATGCAAAGGGTGATCAATCCAAAGCAAGCATTACGAATAGAAACAAACACAACAAAGAATAAAACAACATGTATATATATCATTAAAACCGTAAAGATTACAATAGAGTACGTTGGTTACATCTAACCCCACAAAATGGGTGAAACCACTCAACAAAGAGGGCAAATACAAAATAGAGATGGAAGAGGAAGTGAAGAACCGAAGGAAAGATCCGCACACGGACGATCCCAAGCCCTGGGAATCCCTTCCGCAGCTCCTGGAGGCGCCCAATGTGAGAATGGAGAGAAAGATCCCCGAAAATGGCTTCAAATACGAGCCTGGGAGATCAGATTAGGGTTCCGCGCCCGGCGCACAATTCTTCGCGCCCGGCGCAAGTTCTTCCAGAGAAGTCAAGCACTCTCTGTCTCAACACAAGCCCGGCGCAATTCCTTTTGCGCCCGGCTTAATTCCTTTTGCGCCCGGCTTAATTCCTTTTGCGCCCGGCTTAATTCCTGGCAGAGATGAAATACTCTGTTTTTGTCACGCCCAGCGCAGGTTATATTGAGCCCGGCGCAGAGCCTCTTCTCTGCTCCTTAGCTTCTTAGGTTTCCAATCCTAAGAGTCTTCAACTTTCCACTCTTCCTCAATACCTGCACAAAAAATGAGGTGGATTAAGGTATTGTTAGATGAATTTGGGTTAGTTATATCTGCACACAAAATGAACCAAAAAGAGAACAATTATATTGCAATGGTTCAAAGGATGAGTGGAATTTGTTCAATAAGTCTCATCCAAAAAGAGGTAAAATTGAGACTTAACAGTGTTGTTGGTGAAAAAGAAGGATGGAGGTAGTCGACTATGTGTTGATTACCGGCAGCTGAAAAAATTGACCATTAAGAAAAATATCCACTTCCCCGGACTTAATGTATCAATTGAAGGGAGCATCAATATTTTCAAAGATTAACTTGAGGTCAGGATATCACCAGATTAGGGTGAAGGAGGGTGACATACCTAAGACTGCTTTTAGGACTAGGTATGGTCACTATGAGTATGTTGTGATTCTTTTTGGTGTGACCAACGCCCCGGTAGTGTTCATTGATTACATGAACAGAATCTTCCGGCCTTTCTTGGATAAATTTGTGGTGGTGTTCATTGATGACATCCTTATTTATTCAAGAACCCTGGAGGAACATGGAGAGCACTTGAGGTTGGTGTTGGAGATTCTGAAGGAGAATTAGTTGTACGCCAAGTTGTTGAAGTGTGAGTTCTGGTTGGAAGAGGTGAAGTTCTTGAGCCATGTTATTTCAGCTGAGGGGATTGCAGTTGATCTGGCTAAGGTGGAGTCAGTGTTGCAGTGGGAGCGTCCAAGAACTGTCACGGATATTCAGAGTTTTGTAGGTCTAACGGTTACTATAGGAGGCTCATTGAGGGATTCTCCAAGATAGTAGCGCCTCTAAACCAGTTGACTAGAAAGGATCAGCCTTTCATTTGGACAGATGCTTGTGAGCAGAGTTTTGATGAGCTGAAGAAGAGGTTGACCACTTCTCCTGTGTTGGTGTTGCCTGATTCTGGTGAACCTTTTGATGTGTATTGTGATGCTTCTCACCAGGGTTTGGGGTGTGTGTTGATGCAGAACAGGAGAGTGGTGAAATATGCTTCAAGGCAACTGAAGAACCATGAGAGGAATTATCCTACTTATGACTTGGAGTTGGCTGCGATTGTTTTTGCCTTGAAGATATGGAGGCATTACCTTTATGGTGCTTAGTTTAGTGTCTTGAGTGATCATAAGAGTTTGATGTACTTGTTTGATTAGAAGGAGCTAAACATGAGGCAGAGACGATGGATGGAATTTCTGAAGGATTATGATTTTCAGCTGATGTATCACCTTGGGAAGGCCAATGTAGTGGCAGATGCTCTTAGTAGGGAATCCATCCACATGTCGAGTTTGATGGTGAAGGAGTTGGAGCTGGTGGAGGAATTTAGAGATTTGAATCTCTGTGTGGAGTTAGCTCATGATCACATTAGTTGTGGAATGATTGCCATAACTAGTGAGTTCTTGAGGCAAGTTGGGTTGAAGCAGTTGCAGGATTCCGAGATAGTGAAGGTTCTTGGGCTGCTGGGTACTAGGAAGGCAGTTGATTTTGAGTTGGGTAGAGATGGAATCTTGAGGTTTAAGGGCAAAATTTGCCTACCTCATGATTCTGAGCTGAAGAAAGCAGTTTTGGACGAAGGTCACAAGAGTAGACTTAGCATACATCCTGGTATGACTAAGATGTACCAAGATCTCAAGAAGACTTTCTGGTGGTTTGGTATGAAGAGGGATATAGTTGTATATGTGGCGGTCTGTCTGACTTGTCAGAATGCAAAGGTGGAGCATCAGAAACCGGGTGGTTTGCTGTAGCTGATGGAGATTCCAGAGTGGAAGTGTGATAGTATCACTATGGATTTTATTGTGGGATTACCTAGGTCGACTAGGAATAATAATGCTATTTGGGTGATTGTTGATAGGTTGACCAAGTATGCACATTTCTTGCCTGTCAATATCAAGTGGTCCTTCGAGAAGCTGACGTAGTTGTATGTGTGGGAAATAGTATGGTTGCATGGGGTGCCTTCCAGTATTATTTCAGACAGAGATCCGAGGTTCATTTCCAGATTTTGGCAGAGTGTACATCAAGCCTTAGGCACGAAGTTGAGGTTGAGTTCTGCTTATCATCCACAGACGGATGGTCAGTCAGAGAGGACAATTCAGTCCTTGGAGGATATGCTGAGGGCTTGTGTGTTAGACCACTTGGAGAGTTGAGAGGAAGTCCTACCACTGGTGAAGTTCACGTACAATAATAGTTTTCATGCTAGTATTGGGATGGCGCCGTTTGAAGCCCTGTATGGTAGGAGGTGTAGGACTCCTCTGTGTTGGTATCAAGATGGTGAGTTAGTGGTTGTGGGGCCAGAGCTGATCCTACAGACTACTGAGAAAGTGAAGCTGATTCAGGAGAGAATGAAGACTGCTCAGAGTAGGTAAAAGTCGTATGCTGATAAAAGGCAAAAGACTTTGGAGTTTTCTAAAGGGGAACATGTGTTTCTGAAGGTGACCCCAACCTCTGGTGTGGGAAGGGTGCTGAAGGCTAAGAAGTTAACACCTAGGTTTGTCGGTCCCTATCAGATCATCTATCATGTGGGTCCGGACGCTTATCAGTTGGCCTTGCCACCGTTTCTCTCAAACCTACACGATGTGTTTCATGTATCCCAACTGAGGAAGTATGTTCATGACCCCAGTCATGTAGTTGAGTTGGATGATGTTCAGGTGAAAGAGAATCTGACTTTTGAGAAGTCGCTTGTAGGTGTGGTTGATTACAAGTTGAGGGAGTTGAGAGGAAAGTCTATCGGCTTGGTGAAAGTGTTGTGGGATGAAACTACTGGTGAGGCTACTTTGGAGGTTGAGCAGCAGTGCAGAGAGCAGTATACTTCCCTATTCCCAAGTAAGTGTATTTTCGGGATGAAAATTCCTGTTGTTAAGGAGGTTGTGAGACCCGCTCCCTCCTTCTCCCCTCTCCCTCTCAACATTTCCTTTCAATTCTCACTTTCTCCTTCCCACTCTCTTTGCTCAAGTTTAGGTTCTCATTTCCTTGGTTGTTGTAGGTGCTGACTAGAAGCTAGCTAAGTGCGCCGGGTGGATTCCTCTCTTCACCGTTTATCTTCTTCTCCTCCTTCTCTTCCCGGAAGTTCGGATTTCTTCTCCTCCGAGGTAAGGGAAGCTAGATTTCTTGCAGATTGTTTGGAAGTGAGTTTAAAACTCACATGTTGTTTGATTCTTGGAGAATGATGGTGGAGTTGAAGAAGTTGCATTTTCGGGGTTTCGGGAAACTTGGAAAAAATCTAGGATTTCTATGTGTTGATGGTTGCATGTTGATAAAGTGATGATTTTTGGGTTGTATGCTGAAAATGTGGTTCATTGAATGGATTGCATGTGTTTT